TTATCTAGTTATTGAATAGCCTGAAGTTAGAGCAGTTGAATACTATTTGTAATTTGTGTGTGTGTGTGTGTGTGTATGTGTCTGTGAGCAAAGCTGTGTTTGCCACATCCATTTTTTTCTGACTTAAAAACAGTATTTTAATAGATAATTGTGGTTTAAAGAACTGATTGATGTCTGACAGAAAGTTCTCCTCCTATTGATTACATGTGAAAATACCCAGGAGGGGTTGGGACTGACAGTAACCATCAGAAGACTTCAAAACTCAAAGGAGAATCTAGTTGACAGCAGGATGTTCAGTACAGAAAATAGTTTCAGCACTGACACTTTATTCTCAGGTTCAGTATCTATCCATCTATATACCAAATATTTGTGCAAAAGACAGCGTAATGTTGGGGGGGGGTGGAAGCTGAACTTGTAATTGGGACATGGGGATTAGATTCCAGCTGAGTTCTTTCTACTGGTACTGTCTTGGAGATTTACGTCTCTGAGAAAAATATTCTTTGTTTTTAAATGATCTCTAAGGATCTTTTGGGCTCTAAATTTCTATGATACTCTGATCCTGTCTTATCTTTTTAAGGATATTATGTGTTGGAAATATCTAGATAGATCAATAGATGTATGTATGGGTGAGTGGAAAAATGACAATACATATACACACATACACACATTTATATGCACAATATATACAGACATAAATATATGCATATATATATGACTATATATGTGTGTGCGTAACACATACAGATTTTTCTGTGCTTGGGTGTCTATATAAGGTGACATGGTTTCTTTCCTAAACATGAAACTTTTTCATTTGCAAATATGAAAATAAATATTCACTTCAAATATGAAAATAAATCATCTATTTAAGAGGTTATTTAAGAGGTAAGGCCTCTTCATAGCAAATGGGTCTTGAAAGAGATTTTGAGATTATGAAAGATGCATTAAAATGATCCACAAATATTCATATGCATGTGTTGTGAAAATACTACTTAGTGGATACAAATATAAAAGGTGAAAATAAAAGTAACATGAATATATCCATAAAGAATCCTAATATTGAAAATCTACTGGGCAGTGCTAAGTAAGTGACTATCAGGAATCAGATCTTGACAAAATAATGACTTTCACTTTTGATGGATAGAAAGGGGCTTCCGTGGTGGCTCAGATGGTAAAGAATCCACTTGCATTGCAGGAGACCTGGGTTCCATCCCTGGGTTGGGAAGAGTCCCTGGAGGAGGGCATGGCAACCCACTCCAGTATTCTTGCCTGGAGAATCTCCATGGACAGAGGAGCCTGGCAGGCTACAGTCCATGGAGTCGCAAAGAGTCAGACAGGACTGGGTGACTAAGCACAGTACATAATTACTATTAGCAGAAACATATTTTTCTATCAGTAACCTTCATATAAATCAGTTACATGTAAATGACAAACAGTGGAATCTACATTTTACTTCTTTAACCAACGTATTTGGTGGCTCAGATGGTAAAAATCGCCCTGCAATGCTGGAGGCCTGGGTTCAATCCCTGGGTCAGGAAGATCTCCTGGAGAAGGAAATGGCAACCCACTCTGGTATACTTGCCTGGAAAATTCCATGTATGGAGGAGCCTGGCGAGCAACAGTCCATGGGGTTGCAAAGAGTCAGACACGACTGAGCAACTCACTTAACTTATTAACCAACATATTTAGGTTCATGGGACACTAAAGACCACAGTCATCATTACTACAGAGCATTTTATTAAGTGTATATACTCACACAGTGAGTGGATAGATATTTAGTTCTGTATTCCAGACAGATCGAGTACATTTCTGTAGTATAGTTGGCTTTATTTGAGTGGAATAGGCCTGTCAGTGAGAGGTCATAAGTAATCAGCTGTCTGTATATACTTGGAAATTTAGAAATAGCTGAGAGTTTATTTAGATGGGTTGTCTTTAAAGGGGCTTCCCTGGTGGCTCAGACAGTAAAGAATCTGCCTGAAATCCGGGAGACACGGGTTCGATTCCTGGGAAGGGACAATCCCCTGGAGGAGGATATGGCAACCCACACCAGTATTCTTGCCTGGAGAGTTCTATGGACAGAGTAGCCTAGCGGGCTTGCAGAGAGTCGGAGGCATGACTGAACAATTAACACTTTCACTTTCAGTCTGAAACAGGTGAAACTAAAAGTGACCATGTAATCATCAAACTTTAAAGCTGGAAAAAGTCTCATTCTTTTTCAAATGAAAAAGCATTAAGTGGGTCATTAAATGAGTTTTTAAAGTTTCATGGCAAGAGAGTGACGGGTATAGAATTTTAAACCCATGTTTCTGGTGCCATTGCCCTTTCCATCATACCATGTTTCTCCCCAACATTTCATGAATCAAAGCACACACACACACACACACACACACACACACACACACACCTCACACATGTACATATAAAGACCCAGGGTTTACTCTTCAATTTGCTTTCAAACATACGGAAACATTATGGATTCAATCTTTCAGGTAGTATTTCAGAGCAGATAAGCCAAACCCTGTTTCTCTCACTTGGTTTCAAGGATTGTTTAGTCTCTGAGTATAATTATTCATTCGGAATTTCACCTATTGGTCAACATTCAAATTTGTGATGGCCATGCTGTGGACCCCATTGTCTTGAGAGAAAAGCTTACATACTGAAGCATTTGGGTGGGTGAAAGGAACACAAGGAGAAGAAAACAGAGGAGGGGTATTTGTGAATTTGTAGTGAGTTGTTGCTTTTATACCTTTTTTTTAGTTAATCTTTCTTTTGTTGTGAGAAATGAATAGAAATAGAAGCTAAAAAATGTCTCCTATTCACTTGGCAATTTCTTTTTATCCTCTTTTTCTCAGGTAACATCTCTTCCAGGAATCCTCCCATACCCTCAAAAGATAATTCCATTGTTTCTCCTTTTAGTTTCTGCAGGTTTCCTTTGGTATTTGTGGAATTCCTATTTGATGTGATGGTGGAAGAGCCCATTAGAGCCACTTCCTGTTACTAAGTTGAGAGGAAATGCTGGGTTTGGGTCACATTTCTTCTTGGTAGAGGTCATAATGTGCCCCACCATGAAGTTGCTCAGTCATTCTAAGGGTCCCTAGCCAACTCACCTTCTTCTTTAGATCTTTCAGAGCTCACATTTGGTTGTTTTATATTGTTTCCAGGATATATAGTTGGGTTTCTAAAATGGGAGCAGGGAAAGAGGAGCATAAACCATCTTATATGGATTAGAAGTGCTCTCTGTGCCTTTCAAGTGGTCACCTGATTGGGACATGCTCACTCTGGATAATTTCCCAATCAACTGTGCTGTTTATCATAATCTAACAATGGGAACAATACTCCATCATATTTACAGGTCTCATACTCAAGGGGAGGGGCTACTTCGAGGATCATTAGGCATCATCTTAGAATTCTGTCAACCACAGAAGGTGCATGTGAATGTACTGAAGCATTAATTAAGCAACTGTCATCCTTTGGAAGACTGGAAGCTATTAGGATAGTATGAAAACCAAGTACTGTTATAATTATTCTACTCATAGTAGATGAAGTACACCTGGTATCAGAAATGCTTAACAAAAATCAGAATATTCAACAAATTTCAGTATTAGTTAATGTCAGTTTCAGAGGTTTGACCTAAGTCTTCATGTATGGCCATGCAGATATCTTCTGTTAGCTGAAAGGTGAATTTAAAAACTTCACCACTACTCCCCATTTATATTTTGTAGTTATGTGCAAATACAGTGGCCACCAGCAATTCACATAGAAAATAAAGGTCAATGATGTTTCTGACTTTAAATTTTTAGAGCAGGTTTATACTTAACACTACCTGCATTTGTACAGGTTGCAATTGTACAAAGTTAAGACTGTTGCTTTAGGTTGTAATATGATGTACCTGTATCAGGATGGAAAATGTTAAGGAAAATTTTTTGCACTGGCCAATAGGGTCTTTTCCAATAGTCGGTTCTTCCCATCAGGTGGCCAAAGTATTGGAGCTTCAGCTTCAGCATCAGTCCTTCAGGTTAGATTTGGCTAATGTGAACTACTGACAAAAGATCAGAAGTCAGGAGGAAAGAAGGTAAGGGTATTCATTTCTGTGATGCACCCTCTCCAAAACTTTGGATTGGCAGTGGCTGCCATTTTCTCAGCTTATAGCTCTTGCTGGGTGGACTTCTACTACACCTCTTAAGACATTTGGGGTTGCAGGAACTATCATCTCTCTATGCCCCTTCAAACCTAGGGGTTCTAATACTGGCTTCTCAGATGCTAGCCTCTGGGTACTTCATCATCTCTTGGTCTCTCTTCATTATTTTCACATTTTAGTCTCCTCATTAAATGATATTCTGTCACTCTTTTAAAGTGTGCCATCAGCTTTTGGTTGGACTCTGACTAATACATTGCTAGTGGGGAATAGGAGAAACTTTAAGGTAGTATTAGGAGGGTGGGATAAACTGCTGGAGGGAGATAGGAAGAGAAGGGTTTCAAAGCTTTTTATGGTGTTCTATGAAAATAGCATGACTTCTTTATGTGAATGACTAATGCAATCTTAAATTCCTTCTCAATTATTTAGTTGGGTTCCTGTTTCTTTGCATGCACAACCAGGATTGAACAGGGCCAAGAGATATCTGGGATTTATATGACTAGATGATACTACTAGGATCTATCTGGATTGATTATATCATATTAGAACATTTCTCTCATGACATCAGGAATATCCCAACCCAGTGCACATACTACGTTTTTATTGAAATTCAGTGCACTGCTATGGTGTTTAACTCATTTTTATTGTCAGATAGAACAACACTGTTTGACTTTTTAATATTTCCTTTTATTATCAAACATAAATTGGGGAAAGCCCAATAATTTCTTCAGGAACAAGTAATTCAGTTCCGATTCTTACATATAGATTCAGATTGTTATATTTAAACATAGATAACACTAAAAGTGGACATGAGGCAGCTGACTGTTGTCCATGACCTTAACACTTTATATATCCGAGAATTCAGATCTCACATAGAATTATCTGCCTCAGGTGGATCCACTACTGGCCCACGACAAATCGGACAGGTTATGTGCTCAGCCAGCCAGTGATCAATGCAGTGATCATGAAATTCATGGGAGCAAGGTAGGATGCGTAGTGTGTTGCCTTCGGTGTACTCTGTGATACAAATGCTACAGGCTTTAAATTCTTCATTCTCTCCAAAATATCTTAAAGGCAAGTTGTCAATCTGTGCTCTGGTAAGTCCTATAGTTTCATATGGGTCATCTTCATTTAGGAGGAAAAACTGATCCAGAATAAGGGAGGACCCAGAGTCACTATCATCGATTATGATTGGGGACGTTCGTCCACCTTCTTGCCTGGTCTCTGATAAGCCTGTTGGTAAGCTTCTTTCTTCACTCTCTACCAAGATCAGAGAGCTAGTTTCTGAATCTTCATCATTTGAGCTAGAAATTAATATAGGACTGGATGCAGAGCTAGAAATCAAATAGGGGCTTGAATCTGATATCACTATTATACTTGAATCAGGATCATATCTAGCATTTGAAGCAGAACCAGGGCGACTCTCACTACCACTGGGTCCATGTCTTTCATTTGGTGACTCTGCCCTTTCTATGTTTTCACTTGGAGGTGAGACACTATGCTCTAAATTACTGTCACTGTCCATAAGATTACTTGAGTTACTAAATCCTGTCATTGTCTGCCATAATGTACTCTGAGTTGAAACAGATATTGTGTCACTTAAGCTAGTATTTAAAATTCTATGAACGGGATTTCTGATGGTATTGACAGAAGCACTCTCATTGGCCTCGTCAGAATGTGAAAACATAGGCTTCAATTCCTCTTGCTCGCTTTCTGAAGTGGTAGTGTTGTTTGGTGAGTCAGATGTTAACTGAGTTCTACTAAGTCTGCTGTCTCTCTGAGAACATGCTTGATAATGAACTTGCCCTACTTCAAGATTGAAGGGAGTGGTTGGATTTGTTTCCATCACTTCCCAAGATTCACTACTGCACATTGTATCTGAATCACATTCTTCATGAACAGCATTCCTAGTTTTAGAAGTTTTAATAAGATCCCTATTTTGCAACTCATGTCCAGGCATTTGCTGTCTCAAACTTTCTTCATGCCCAGTTCTAGAAAATCTCTCATTCTCACTTATGAGAGGTTGCTTAAAAGTCTGAGATGGTATATCTTCATTAATACTTGGAAAAATTTCCCACAGTGAGTGTGGAGGTGACCAACTGTCAGTCCTTGCTCTGGTTCTCCGATAGACTGGGCTGCTACTTCTTAATCTTCGCTGACTTCTAGTCGGTGGGACTTCCATTAATGTTTCTGTCATATCTTGTTCTGGTGTAGATGGTCTTGTAAATAGTGACTCAGATTGTGGACTTTCCACTTGCCTTTGGCTGTCTTCCGTATCTTCTCTTCTGGGAAGTTTTGCAGATGCTACACATTCATTCTCGGGATTTGAGTTCTCATCATCAGGGTCAAGATTTCTTTCTAAGCCAAATCTGAGCTCATCACTGTTAGCACTAATTGGGCTCTCTTCTTTCCAAGACGGAATTTCTTTCTGTTCACTTGTCACATTTGCATCTCCTCTATCTGTTAATTAAAGAAAAGAGGTGGGGGGGGGGGAGAGGCCATAAAAGAACTACCAACATTAGAACCATCATAAAATAGCACTCTGAAACTTTGTTTAAAAAACAAACAAAAATGAGAACTTAAACACTCAGATGTTTCCAACTGATTTCACATTTACAGAGTTGATACTTTAAAAGCTTTATTATCTAGATTTATAAGTAAAGGCAGGGAAGTTTCAATTTCATCTGAAAAAGAGTACACTAATCCTAGATAAATTCAGAGGGTATCTGAAGAGAGTCTGTTTTTCAATATTTCATCATATACACAGCCCTGTATACCACTGTGGGAGGCATGTCAAGAGACATGTTTTTTTCAGTCCACTGTCAAAACACCAAAGCAATTCTACAAGGTAAACACCAGTTAACATACAGTGCTAGTATTTTAATTCAATTGATATTATTGTCTAATTCTCATTAGTCTCCAACATCACTACTCCTAGGCTCTTATATGCTTTTGATAATGTATAAGTTGTTTTACAATATAAGATTATTGCCCAAATATAAACAAAGGTTATAGGTTTAAAAGTATATGAATTTTGAATACTTCTTAATATTACCAAGGTTTTTAATTGGCATTAAGCTGAAAGTCAGATCAAATGAATAGACTGAACCTAGCATGGCACATATAAGACCATATTCAAGAACCAAAGTGATAGTATCCTCTTCATTAGATAGTAAAATCCTCTATTTCACACTGGGAGAGAAAGCACCAGATCTGAGGTTCCAGCAGGGTTTCTCAGCCTTAGAACTATTTACAATTTGGCACTGGGCAATTCTTATTTTGGGGAGCTACCCTGTGCATTGTGTCATATTTGGCAGCATCCCTGGCCTCTGCCCACTAGATCTAGTAACACCCATGACTCCCTCTGTGACAACCAAAAATATCTCCAGCTATTGTCAAATGTCCCTTGGGGTGGGGGAGAGCAAATCAGTCCCCAGTTGAGAACTATTTGGTTAGAATATAAAATATTTCTTTTTTCTTTTCTTTTTTTTTTTTACACATCTATATAGATAGAGAGGGCTTCCCTCATAACTCAGTTGGTAAAGAATCTGCCTGCAATGCATCAGACCCCGTTCGATTCCGGAAGATCCGCGCTGGAGAAGGGATAGGCTACCCCCTCCCGTATTCTTGGGCTTCCCTTGTGGCTCAGCTGCTAAAGAATCCACCGGGAAAGCGGGAGACCTGGGATACATCCCTGGGTTGGGAAGATCCCCTCCACTCAAGTATTCTGGCCTGGATTATTCCATGGACTGTAGGGTCCATGGGATTGCAAAGATTCTGGACCCGACTGAGTGACTTTCACTTTCATCGATAGAGAAAATAATTCGGGACATAGGAGGGACTTTCCATTGAGGTACAAAAGCATTAAACAAACAAAAACCAATAGTCTACTTCACACTGTTTCCCGATTAAAACAATCCAAATGTGAATCAGGAAAAAAAAAAAAAAAACAACCCATCTCTGGCGTTCTCACGGCAAATCAAGTAAATGTCAGTTCTTTTATTATGAGAAGTTCCTTACCAAATAATTTATGCCACTTCTTTATAATTTACTATTTACTATTGTGAAGTGATTATTTAATACTGCAAAGTTCCTGTTTCATCCCATCCTATTCCCCCCAAAGAGAAATATACCTGGATTTTCATCTGAGTTTTGTGGTAGGTTTTCTTTCATTAATTGAAGTCTCCTCATCAACTCTTCTTCCGTAGTTTCACCCAGGGGGCCGAGCAAATTGTTGTCCCTCATAAGTATGTAATCTTCTTCACTCAGATCACTTACGAATCTGTAGTAATCATCTTCTCGAGCCTTTCGGTCTATCTGATCTCTGCGTCGGACCGAAACTCTGTCTTCTTCATCGTTGGAATCTGAGCTTTCCATCTTGATGAACAAGTGGAAAATTACCTGAATTTCATGACATAGTGCTGAAACGCAACAACCGCCATCAAATTCTCTTCCGCTTCTACTTCCGCCTTGGAGCGACCGGAACACGTTCGGTCAGATAACGGTCCGGCTTGGATCCCCGCTGCTCCGCTACTCCGCTCTGTAGTCTCTGGTGAAGCAATAGTTGAGATCCGCCTCTATCTCATAACTTGCTGAGGCCTTGCCTAAGCATCCATTGTCTTCCTTATGTAACTGAGTAGGGACTGGATTCAGGTTGGGTTTCATTTCGTTCAAAAGCAGCCAGTATTTCTGAGGGTTTACCCTCTGATGATGCTTGATGACGCTTGATGACGTACCAAGTGCCATCCTTAAACTCTTCCCCCGCACCCCCGCCCCCCGCCCTGCCGCAGCCTGTTCTCAGGCTTTCAGAAGGCATTTTCATTCGCTACATTTTACATGACACCTGCTTCAAAATGCCACGCCAAGTCAGTCTCCTTAAATGTAGCATTCCTCATTTCCAGGTGCCATGGGACCGCTGCCTTTTCTCAGGAATTCCTCAGATCGTAGACTCTCACTAAGTAGTTCAGAGTTTTTGATAATTCACCAGGGTCTTAGTTGACTCTCTTCAATGTGTCCTCTCCCTTTTAATTCTTAATGGCTTCATCTTGATTATAAGACCCTCAATCCTGTTTCAAACAAACAGAAAACACAAAACTTGGGCAGGCTTTTCTGCTCATCCAGGGAATTTCTTCTCCATAAAAGCTTTCGGTTTCATTTTTGTCCTTGTGTCTCTTGCAAACGAAACTAGCCAGATTATCACAGGAACTTTAAAAAATGGATCCCTAATAGTTATTTTACCTATGGTATTGAACCAACTTTGCTAATTTTGTTCCATGTATCTTAGTGCAACCCGGATGGCTGTATTTATTGGTGAAAATAAATGAATGCTTATTTGTAATGCTACTTGAAGGAGACCTCTGTGAATTTCTGGACTCGTTAATACTATCAGCCCCACTTAACACTTGTTTGAGTTTTTCTTTCAAATTATTCATGTAAAGACAAGATTTGGCTACTGAATTTGAGATTATTTAATTTGTCTTATTTAATAATTAATCCATCCAACATAAACTGGGTCAGTTATTGTCCTAGCTCTACAGATATGTCAATTGTTGGAGCAGTTTGTACTCCCAAGTGATTAGGAAACACCATCTACAAACTATCACAATACAGTATATTTTAGATTAGATTTATATATGTCTTATTGTGTAAGTACAGAGAGTTGTGCAACACTTATTTAATGGGCATTTCACAGAGGTATTATGTTTAAATCTGAATCTTTAAATATAGTTATCAGTTTCTATAGATGGAAAATGGCAGTTATGTGTTGGTAGAGAAAGGCTCTGTCAGAAAAAGTAGACTTGAAAGACCTTGGCTTATTTGGGCATCTGTGGCCACAATTTTGGTGTAGGGGTGGAATACAGAATTAATCTCAGAAAGGATAACTGACACAAGCTGTAAATAGAGTTTTGATTTTTCAAATGTAAGAAATAGGATACTGATTAAGATGTTTTGGTATATTTTGAGAATAAGTAGTGAATTTTATTTTCGTTTGCTTAGTGTCCCCCCCGTAACAACTTGTGCTGACAGCATCCTGATTTTCGTGGTGGAAAACCTCATTCTACAGCATTAGTCCAGTTGGTTTAGGTTTAGCTGAATTCACTACCATGGCTAAAGGAAGGGACATATGATACAGCCATGTCCCATCAGCATGTCTCAAATTGGTAGTGGTAATTGGTCAAAGCATGAGCATGTGAACAAAAGTATGTTTAAGAGCTAAATCTGAAATGTTAGATAGATCTACTGAAAATGAGAAATCCTTTTCCAGTGAGGTTACTAAGCTGGTAAGATACAAACCTAAAGATGCTTGTGGCTATGTTATATACCAAGAATGAGAAAAATTGGCATAAATAGAGGAAAGCAAAGATGGAGAAAGAACAAGATATTTGAGAAAGAAAAAAATTGAGAAGTACCTGAAGCTATATTTGCCTTAGGACTTTTAGACCTTTAAAACAATGTATTTCATTTGTAAAACTATAAGCTTATGATTGGAAGGCTGATAATAGTTGTCATAGGAGAGTGATATGAGTGTTGATGATATAGTAGTAGTTGTTGTTAAGTCGCTCAGTCGTGTCCAACTCCTTGTGACCCCATGGCCTGCAGCATGCCAGGCTTCCCTGTCCCTGACCACCTACCAGAGCTTGCTCAAATTCATGTCCATTAGAGCTGGTAATGTAGTTAGATGTCAAAAAGTAATTTGATAGAGGGGAGGTGGTCAGGGAATGAGTGAAATAGGTGTGGGAAATTAGTACAAACTTCCAGTTGTAAAATAAAGGAGTGAAAGGGATGAAATGTACAGTGTGGAGAATATAGGCAATAGCAATGTAATATCTGTGTAGGATGACAGATGGTAACCAGGCTTGTGATCACTTTATAATATACAGAAATATCTAATCACTATGTTGTGCACCAGAGCAGTGTTGTCGTGTTGTAGGCCAAATATACTTCAAAAGACAAACAAACAAACTCATAGAAAAAGAGATATGATTTGTGGTTACCAGAGGTTGGTGGGGGGGTTGGATGAAGGTGGTCAAAAGGTGCATACTTCTAGTTACAGGATAAATAATATAGGAATGTAATGTACATTAATCATGTTGTATATGAAAGATGTTAAGAGTAAATCCTAAGAGTTCTCATCACAAGGAAAAAAAAAACATTATTTCTCATTTATTTTGTCTCTGTATGAGGTGATAGATGTTTGCTAAATTTATCATGGTTATCATTTCATGATGTATGTAAGTGTAGGAGAACAAAACTTGCCACCCCAAAATGTTTCTTTGGCATGAAGATTATGTCATGCTGGAGAAAAAAAAAAATCTAGGTCCAAAAGTCTCAGGAGGAAACTTTGACCTTGCTCCTAACTGCCTAAAACTTTTAGATAAAGGGCTTATTCCCCAATAGAGCTATCACCAGAGATATCTACAAAGAATATGGCTAGTTGTGGTGGGGAAAACACAGCAGGG